TTAGTGAAATAGTGACACTTAGAAAATGAAAATGAAAGTTAATAATAGTGAGAAGTTAGATATCATTTTAATTTTAATTTAATTATCTGCTGTGAAAATGGAACAAAAATTACAAATGTGTGCTGTCATCAGATAGCAATTAATATAAGAAAATATTAACATCTTACTTGTGTTCGTGGATCTTTGAATAAATTAATATCTGTAGAGTAAAAGAGTAATGTATTGATTGTAATTTTTTGATAATTTGATGTTAATATACTTTATGCTATATTCTGTATCTGTTTATACTATTTGTGCTCCATTACGTTATTCAAAATTCCCGCCTTTTAATAAGTATAAATGGTGATATAGAATTAAAGTGCCTACGTAAATTAATTAATCAAAGAAATAGTTGAGGAAATAGAAAGTGGTTTTTCTAAAAAATTAAGTATATTATTATGTCATTATCTTTTTAAATATGGACGAATTAAAAACTGTCCGTAATTAGGTGTTTTCTAATAACTTTACATTTTTTTGTAAATGTCTAATTTATTTTCATCTGAATTGAACGTATGTCAAATTAGTGGAGACAGATAAATCTCTCAAATTAAATAAATCAAATAAAAAATTAAGTCAGTATATTAATAAACAGTTTATAATTTTTAAATATAATTAGTAGTTATTTTCTTATTTATTATTTACCTCGTTATTGTAATAATAGTTACTAATAATTCTTTCTTTATTGTTTTTATGTCACCTTCTAATAAAAGGTAACTATTGCAACATATTTTGTTACACTGTTTGACTGACATAATGAATTATCTATCATATGGTGAAAAATAATAATTGTAGATTATCTTTATTTGTTCACTAATATTAATTTTGACTATAATATTACAAATTTCATGAATTTAAATTAAATGTGTAAAATTAATATACTAAAATTATTATAATAATTCTGTGTCATTTAAGGAAATGTGGTAATTGGAGTAAAATAGAAGAAATTGTTAAAAATTTATTACATTAACATCCAAATAAACTAATGATTTAAGAATTTCATAGTTTTCATATATAAGGCTATATGACTCGGATATGACAGAATAAACCATATCAGATACAGAATTGACAATGCTAATGAAAATGTTATTTGAAGATTATCATGTAAATGAAATTAGTCATATGATAACTTTTTAAGTTTAATAAGATTATAGTACATAATTAGACATTTTTTCAAATAAACATATAAGGCTTAGATTGCTTTCATCTGAATCAATATTATAATTACATTCATTAGGATATAATAATTATAAAGTAAGAACATGATAATTAAATAAACATCTAATAACAATATAAAAATATTTTGAAGAGAAATATATATATATTAAAATATATAAAGTTTTCTGAAGCTTATTAATTTCAGATCTCAGAGCCCAAAAATGTACTTGATTAACAATTTTAATATCTAGTTCGAAACATCCTTTCATGCTTATATATAAACATTTATCATACTTAGGTCATATGTACTATCTAACTGTTTATATTCTATTCTTTTATTTAACCACTTATAGCCTCTTTCTCTACAGTTGGCTTCCTTTTCTCAATGTTATTTAACCATTTAACTATCTTTTTGCATTTTCTATTCTCCACTACTTGTTTTAGACTATAAGCATATCATTTCACCTTCTTGCATTTCTTTACTATCTGTTTTAATGTTCTGCATTTCCATTTGCATAATTTATCTTTTCTTTCTCCATCCATTAACTAATATCTGTTGTATTTTCCCATACTGCCACATCTTGTCCTTGCTTTATAGATCTTTCACTCCCTTTATTGTCTTTCTTTATTAAATACTCTTGTGTTCTGTGATATCCTATAAATTTATGCATAACATGGTATTTTGACCTATATATCCTATCATATTACATTTAATTTTTCACTTTTCTATTATGTTCCAACAACGTTTTAGCAACCCTGCTTTACCCTGCCATTAGCCAAGAATTCTTCTGTTGCATCTTTCCCCAGCCTTACTACACACTTGACCTTCATTCTTAATCTCTTTTATCCTTTTTACTGACCTTTGACTTGTCCTTTTCTTTCCACCACTGCCCAAAATAGATTCCAATTAACACTAACAAAAGTAGATCCACAAAAAAGGCAAATAACTTGCCTCCTTTATTTTTTAATTCTATATGTATCACATGATTAAATATGTATACATTGGTATATTATATATCTAAATTGCTTAAATCCTACCCCTGTGTCACTTAAGATCTTCTTTACCTCAAGTTTGGTTTTTAACCTTTCATTAAACAATTTTTCCTTTATTATTGTATAATTGTATAATTAAACTTTATTTTTACAACAAAAATTGTAACCAAAGTTGTAAATTTTGACTTTGGAAAAATCATCCCATTTACTTTCTACTATTATTCTACCATTATAAGTATCATTTAGGTGATAAAATATTTTCCTGTGAAAATTTTTCATATAATCATAAATAATAGAAATATTTGATCTTTCTTTACTTAGTTCAAAAGTACTGTCTATTGAGAGTTATGACAGTACTTACTTTAATATACACATAAAGTTTTAAACTATAACCTTTATTGAATTTGACATTTTCTCGCAATTACTGGTGAATATAAACTAAATATTATTAGTTTGTTTAATATTTTTACTCTTTGAGAATCCAGCACAGAATATGAAAAAGTCTGATTTATTAGGATGAGAAATCTGTGAAAGTATATATGCATTGAAGGCTTTAATAAAGTAACATGTAATTACACAACACAGTATATTTAGCTTTTTTTTTTTTTTTTTGCATATAAGAGATAAAGAGGAATTTCGGATCTAAGAAAATATGCAAGCATTAATGAGATATAAAAATATTAATATTACTATTGCGAAATGAATGTTTCTTTATTTAATTCACGCAGTGAGGCATATGAACCATAGAAGTAAAACAGCATTAATATTTATACTCATAAGAACTACAAAAAGCAAACGATTATTAGTTACTCAGGGATCAAATACATAAGAATGAAGAACAAAAGAAACAAGCATTCAAAGCGAGATACGAAAAAAACAAAACACATACATTCACACACCAGTCTGCAAAGATGTGGTGTTACCTATTAATATCGATCAGCAATTAATGTTAAATTACGGCGAAACATTTGATTTATCAACAATTGCTATTTCTGGTAAATTAATAAGAGAACATTTTGCCAATTTTAGAGAAATAATTGTAAGATCATATTATGGAAAAAATAAATTTTTATTACTATTAGATTCATGAGATGCTACCTGTTGAATATGACTATATTTCATATTGCGCACCATAACTGCGCTTCATAGACGCTCCAGGAACGGCGCTGTTGGCGTTTTTAACAGATGCTTCCCCTACTCCCAGAAGAGCGCTTCGCGCGTTTCACTAATCTCACAGTTTTCGTATGTTAACGAGTATGTTTACATAACTTGTCATATTCATTATATTGTATTGACTTTATTAAAATAAACTATGTGCATTTCGATATCCACTGCCAGATACCATATTCTATCAGTTACCCTAAATATCTTAACACTACTTACCTTAATAATGTATTAACGCATGATAACGGCAATAGCACATAAACTTTAAACATAATTCTACCTTATTGCATTTGGTTACATCAGCCATGCAATGCATATTTTGTTAGACAAATAAAAATGTTCATTAAAAATATTCAAAATACCATAGAAATTTTACAAGCTGATGCCTAAACTGTCCAATTGGGAAGATTACAAGAAAAAATCCCTGTAGGGAAGATTACTCATACATTATCAATTATTAGTAGCATGATATTCGAGAATATGATATGGTATTTATGGCACGCTACAAAATTAATAGTAATATGTTTCCCAGTGGTAATATGAAAAGCTAAATATATACGTAATGCATTAGCATTTATAAAATGTTTACATTGCCAAAAATGCTTATGTTTCAAGTGTTTTTACAACGAATATCATCTTGGGAGTTGTAAAAAACAAATAATGAAAAAAGAGAAACAATTTTATTCCTTGTAAGATTCAAACACCAAAGAACCTTGAGGTAGAAATTTACCAACCATTTACCTTCACTATTGCATCCATTACAATTCATTGAAGAAACTATATATGCATAGAAATTAAATACTTGCATGTTAAACATTTTTATAAATAAGAATATTGACTGTGAGTGAACTTTCACAGCTTAAATATATGAAAAGAACGATTTTTAGGAAAACCCGGCTTCCTGACACGAACTAGTTGACTAAATTAGAAAGACTAACATAAAAACAAAACATTATTTTGCCTTATTAACCTATGCTTGTACGCTAATCAGCCATTACGCTATTGAACAAATTTAAAATACTTCCATAATATTTACTTGTGCATATGCATAGTGGTAGCCATATTGAAATCACATTTCTTAACCATTGACAAAATCCTCATATATAAAGGAAAGACAATCGTGTAAGATTTTGCTACATATGAAAAATTCAATCGATAATAGTGATTCCTTTATAAAATAATGAAGTATTTCATAACACCGTAATTGTTATTTGTTAATTATTAAGCTCACCAATTACTCACAAATACATTATTAAAAATATCACTTAACATACCTTCGATAAAACTATTAAATTTTTATCTATTAAAACTATATTCATAAAAGATTATTTATGATTAAATGATCATTATTATTTTTATTTTACATTATTGTAAATCTAATTCTTGTCTTTCTTTTTCTATACTATTCAGTCATTTTCTTATAATTTTGTAATCATAATATTTGTTTTTATAAATTAGAATATATTGAATATCAATATTTGAGAATTTAATACGTTGACATCGTTCCTATATTATTAAAAATTGTTATTAATTGGTAATGCAAATCTCCTATTTTTGCTGTCACAAAACTTACCAAACTTGCTTCTCTTTATTGATAGTTAATCTATGTTTAAATAAGACAAATTTTTCCCACGTTTCTAATTCAAAGTTTAAAGATGGGAGGTGAAAATGGTGCGGAAGAACCTATGGATGTTGAAATTATGCCATCAACGAGTGGTTATAACATAAAAAATAAAGAAAAAGAGGGAAAGTCAGGACATTTACCATGGTATGTTAGAGTAAAACGAAATGCTCGTTTGTATAAGTAAATTAAATGTTTTTGAGGTTATTCTTTTATATTGTCGTTAATTTGTAGAATGAAAGGAGAGTTAAATATAAACAAGGCATAAAAATTAAAATAATTTTTTATTTAGGATTGAAAAACATCGGCCACAAGTATTTTCTGAAATTGTTGGCAATGAGGACACAGTATCCAGACTCTCAGTTTTTGCTCAACATGGAAATTGCCCTAATATCATTATTGCTGGTCCACCAGGAGTTGGTAAAACTACAACTATATTATGTTTAGCACGTATTTTATTAGGACCAACATTTAAGGAAGCTGTATTAGAATTGAATGCTTCAAATGAACGAGGAATAGATGTAGTGAGAAATAAAATTAAAATGTTTGCTCAGAAAAAGGTAAAAGTATTTCATATGTTTTATTAGATATTCTCATACTTTATGCTTTCATTTTAATAAATAGTTTTTGTTTATTTAAATTTAGGTAAATCTGCCAAAAGGAAAACATAAGATAATAATTTTAGATGAAGCTGATAGCATGACTGAGGGTGCACAGCAGGCATTACGTAGGACAATGGAAATATACAGTAATACAACTAGGTTTGCATTAGCTTGTAATACCAGTGAAAAAATTATTGAACCAATACAATCACGCTGTGCTATGTTAAGATATGGGAAATTATCAGATGCACAAATTTTGGCAAAAATCATTGAAGTTTGTACGAAAGAAAATGTAAGGTCAATCTTTAATGAACTTTTAGTTAGAATGAAATTACTAATGAATTAATATTAATGACATAAGTGTGATTTTTAAATTAAATTAACCAGGTTTCATATACAGATGATGGTTTAGAAGCAATAGTATTTACTGCACAAGGTGATATGAGACAGGCCCTAAATAACTTACAGTCAACAAGTAATGGTTTTGGTCACGTAAATAGTGAAAATGTTTTTAAAGTATGTGATGAACCACATCCATTACTTGTTAAAGAAATGCTTGAATTTTGCACACAGGCTAATATTTCAAAATCATATGGAGTAAGATATTTTGATACATTATTAACTTTTGTTTAGTATATTATAAGAATACTAAATATGTTTTAATGAATATTTGTAGGTAATGGAACATTTATGGAAAATGGGATACTCTGCAGAAGACTTAATCCGTAACATATTCAGAGTTTGTAAAAATTTACCTATCGATGAAACATTAAAATTAGATTTTATTAAAGTAAGTTAAAATATATTTAATGAACGTTTTATACAGTATTAATGTAAGTATTAAAATACGAATTTGAGTTGTTCATTTCAGGAAATTGGAATAACTCATTTAGGAATAGTGGATGGAATTGATAGTTTGCTGCAAATTAATAGTCTCCTTGCTAGACTTTGTAAAAGGGCTATGCAGTCGTAACAGTGAAATGTATAATAACAATATGTAAAAATCGTGATTTAAGAAAATAAAACTATTTATATATTTGTATTATATAATTTTTTTATTTCAAAATTTTTTTTTTAGAAATGATGATCATTTCAAATATGTAAACTAATATTCCTTAAAAAGTTCATACTTCGACTAGCAATTGATAAAAAATGAATTTAATGTTTATATAATATATATGTATCAAAGCTACTTTAATCACGTGGAAGTAAAAAAGATTCGTGTTTCTACACTAATACTTATAACAATACATTAAATTAGTGAATATAAGTGTACGCTTTATGTACTTTGTACGAAATATTTGTGTAATATTTAAAGCAAAATTATTCTTATTATATAATTGATTACTTTGAACATTTATATTTATATTATGAAATTTGAGATGAATGTATATAACAAAATCGAATCGTCCAACGATTATCAGTCAGTATAATTAAACTTACAGTTTTAAATTGGATATAAAAATAGTGTACGAATAAATTCAAAATAATTCAGTCTTTTTCGGTGCAGTAAGAAATTTAAAGATATTATTTTGTATTTATATACATAATATAAAAATCTTCATAACTTATGGAAAATTTTTTCTGTAATAATGGAGACCATCAAAGATTCAATATTAATAATACTCAAATATTCATAGTATAATTAATCAAAAAAATTCATAAAATATGTATAACATGCAGTATTTTGATATTTCAAATATCATTTACATTGTAATTGTTTTTTTTTTTTTTTTTTTTTTTTTTCTTAACACCATTTTTCCATCGTAACAGGTGCTAAATGTGGTCGTGGTTTAGGGGAAGGCCATCGTAATGCACTTTGACAAGATTCTGCTCTGGAGGGTGTCCTTGGAGGAGGTTGAGGTGGATTAGAATGCGAATCTTGTGTTTGATTATTTATTTCGCCATTAGTTTCCGGTCGAGTACTTTTTTCCGTTGGTGGATCACCTTTATGATTTCTCTTTGTCGGTTTTTTGGTTACGTCGTGAAGTGCAGCTGGTGGCGCACTTTCTACGGATTGAAGACTAGCTGCACGATGAAGGGACAGCCGAAGCGGCTTTTTCGGTGGCGCTGGTCGAGATTTCGATTCTTGAGAGCTATATACCACTGACAAATCAGAATTCTCTGATGCCCGTGATTGAGAATCCTGAAACAATAAATAACCTTTAAAAATTAAGTTTTCTATTTTAATTTTGCGAATAGATATGTAACTAATTTTAACCCTTAGAGTAATAAAATTAAATTATTAATTAGCTTCTATGTAGTTGTAATTCTATTTGTGTGCTAATATATAGTTTATAATACCTATTAAATGTTTCATATTCTTGGCACAACATTAAGTAATGGGAATTGTCCTTACAAAAAAGGAAAATATGAAAATAGAAATATGTACTATTAATATTTTGGTTACTGCATGTTATCAAATGTTAAAAACAATATTTGCGAAAGCATTAGCAAGTGTTTAGAATATTTAATCAAATAATTTTCAGTTTTAAGATATATTTATTTTCTCATATTTTTGCATATTAAGAGCAAAAAATTATTATATATTAAGTATTTAATACCTGTTTTTCTTTTAATTTAAAAACAAATCATCGAAGTTAATATCTGTAGTTGTTTCGAAAAATGTAATTCGTAATACATATTTGAGTTATCCTAACAAATTACATTTAAAAATGTATTTTACAAATTCGGAAAATTAAGAACCGTGGTTATTCATAATCATTTGCAATTTTTTGCAAATTAATGATATTGTATAATCATTGATATCAAATAAAAAAAATAAGTTTATCGTTAAATTATATTTTCCAAAAACATGTCACAAAATTCCATAATTGCTATATAATAATCATAATTATAATTTTAAGTAGATGTATTCTTGAAGTAGTAAGTAGCTTTGATCTACAAAATAATAGCCAGTTTCTATGAGGTGTATAACAGTTAACAAAGTAAAATCAGAAAAATTAGTTAGTTAAAGTCAAAGACTGAAATTATTTAACTAATAGGAAATTAAAAATTGTGATGGATTATCTGTTATAATGGAGACACTGTAGCAATGACGATATTTACTATTAATACAGTTAATGTACTATATTTATATATAGGGTAGCCCAATAATTTTGGATACCTCTGATATTTTCAAGACATGGAAAAACTTTATATACAAAATTTGTATAGTATAACAAATTGCGCGTGACTAATTAAGATTAAATGTTTTTTCGACGCATAAGTTTTCAGAATTAAATCACAATACAGGGGGTTAAATATTGTAACGAAGTATCAATTTTGTTAATTTCTACTTAAACAAACGACGTTTAATAGAAGAGAATGTGATTGTGCTATTATTAAAAAATTCTATTATCCGAGTACTTTTGTGTCCTTATTAATTGAAATATAGTAATTGGTACTGTATAGTATAATATTTAACAGATAGAATAACATTTAAAATTTTGCACTTACAAACAATTATTTCTCGCACATTATAAACAATGTAGATATTTAAACTACGAAAAATTATTGTGTCATTCTGCATAATTATTTTTATGTAATGTATATTAACCGAAGATTAAACAATTTTCTTAAAAAAAAAAAAAAGAAAAAATTTATTAGTATCTACAAATATTTAAAGAAATAAAAATGAAATGGAAGAAAAAATAGTATCGAATGGATTGAATATAAGTTGGAGAGCGACTTCAAAAGTATTTTAAAGTTACCTTGGTAATTATAACTTTCAATCGAATCGAGATATTGGAATAAATCTCGCGGTAAAAAATAGTAGAAACTTCAAGCTTTTCAATATATCTTTTAAATAAACTTTGTATGTCTTTTTAATCTTCTTGTTGAGCAAAGGAAGGTAGAAAAATTGTAACTTCTTAAAGAAGTATCGCTGAAGATTGAATAAAAGTTTCAAAATAATATCTTGAAGCTATTAATTTAGATATTTTCAAATTGTTAAATACAGGATACACATTTAGAATTAATAATAAACTGCTTTAAAATGGTAAAATAAAAAGAGAGTAATATTATTTATGTACTGTTAAAATTCAAAATACCGAATAATTATAAACATTTATGTGGAAAAGTGGTACTAGATAGTATTAGATTTTAAAAGACCAATACTAATATTAATTATTATTTTTAACATCAAAGTGGATATACTTGTTGAATAAAAAGTCTGAATTATAATTCTACATTGATAAATAACAGTAACATTTGGAATATATTTGTTATTTAACAGATGTATTTACACTATAGCAGTGTTTTTTATACTTATTAAGAATCGAGTGATTCATTATATGAGATTTAACGAGATTTAATTAACCTTTTGCACTCGAGAGGCGATCTTCAGTCACCATTTATATTAAATTATATAAATATTATATAATATATTAAATTTAAGATAATGTACTAGTGTGCAAGGTATTGAAATTAAATAATTCTATGTGTTAATTATTACACGATTTTCTAAAAAATATTGTCGGCTTTATGGTAGAAATTTTTTGAATTTCTACTCTTCTACAGCAAAAAAATTGTCGCGTGTAAAAGGTTAACAAAATTTCGATTTCACGTTTGGAACTTCGGAGAAATGGTACCTTTAAGATCCTTTTCTACAAATTTATTAAGCTTATCAATTTTTAAGATTGCAAATATATTTCTAACTTTTATAACATATTTTTATGCAATTTTCGGGCAAGGAGAAGGATGGCTGAAGGGGATAGAGGATAGGAGAAGGCAAGAGGGATGAGAGGTAGGAAGAAGATAAAGAGGAGAACACGGATTTTGGGAGGAAAAGGTAGAAGAGGACGAAGAAGCAGGAAGAAACGGGGCGGTAAGGGACAAGTGTATAAAAGAGGAAAAGGAGAAACAATGGTACAAAGGGAAAACCAAAGATGAGGGGTGGGATAATATATGGCTTAGGTGTGTAAATAAGAGTATGTTTATGTTAGGTTAGGTTAAGTTATTATTATGGTTGTATCATAGACTGTTATATCGTTAACACGTTCACTGCCATGGGGGTCACCGGTGACCGGTACTCAACTTGGCGGTGGCGCCACGGGCGCCACCGGTGACCGGCGACGCGACCATTAGTAAAAATACATAATTAGAGTAAATATCGATACTGATAAATTTTTAAATAGTACCATTGTTACTATAATAGTTCGAAGAAATTAATGCCATACAGAACATGCAAAAATAATTTTATTTATACAAAGAAAAGGTGAACCAAAACAGTCGGCACAATATGTCGCCACTTTTTTAGTGCAATTCTTTGCTCTCATTCTTCCTAGCTGATTTGAATTATTTTCATAGCGCACTTTGCAAAATCGCCTTACATTTCGCACACTTCCAGGTTTCTTTTTAAATTCGTGACGACGTTTTTTCTGTGCGTAATTGCTCGATGAAATGCAATCTTCGTGATCAGAACATTTCACTAAATACATCGCTAACTTCATCCTAAAATCGGGAATTGAAATATTTTTTCGAGTTGCTTGTTAAACAATTGATAATGGCAAAAATGGTCTACAGCACCGCGGGGGTCCCCGGTGACCCCCACCACGAAAAATACATTAAACCCGATTACACAACTCACCTTATCTGCTGTAAATAATATTTCAACGTAATATGCATCGCATAATAAAATATTCATGTTGGCGCCATGGGCAAACCACGTAAAATGCGCGTGGCAGTCAACGTGTTAATACTGTATTGTTGTTATAGTAGTTATATATTTTGTATAAAATAAGCAATATGTATGGAGGATAAGGAGAGACGGAACCCTAGTAATCCAATAGGAAAACAATAAACATTTATCTATCTATCTATCTTTAAGCAATTTTCACCAATTTATGACGACCATTTTTTATCGAGAGACAATAAAAACCGTAAGAATTTAATTTCTTTGTTTAAAATTAGACGTCGAACATGACACCACAGCTTGACCTTTTTCTTCGAAGGTTAATCGAATCAATTCAATCAATTTAATCACTGTAATTAACGCAATGTAACGATACTTTAAAGTTCAATAAAAATTAGTTTAATGATACCTGTAATCGATAGTATGTTGGTTCGGAATCGAAGTCTAAGGGTTGTACTTGAGAAGAATTCTTTCGATTCTTAGATAAGTGTTCCATGGCTGACTCCACGCGCGGTGGTCTTCTACGCTGTAATTGCGACTGTATTTGCGTTTGCTTACAATCCAAACTCGCCGTTGATCTGGTTAAAGGAAATCCTTGGTGCTTTTGTTTATTTCGTGATTTATGGTGCCCATTGGAAATGCTAGCCGACGAGGAATCGAATTCGTTCGACACTTTCACGTCTAGCGAACGCTTCGAGTGGTCACTGTGTCTGCTTCTTACAGTTGGCAGACTCTGCCGCAGTTCCATCGAGTTTCTCACATTCAGGCCAGGAAGATTTGCAACCAATGCAGTTACCTGTGGTCCCTTTTGGAAAACCTGTAGGACAAAGAGGGAACTTGATTAGGTATCAAAGAATTGCAGATATTCTCATATAAATGGTATTTTTACGATATCTTTTAGCTCTAATATGATTCAAGAGTTGCGAGAATTTTCTCACAAAATAGGATTTCTGTAACACGATTCGAGAATTGGACGAATTTTTGTATATGACTTGGAAATTGAGAAATCGTTGTTTAACACGGTTTGAGAATCGAGAAATCTCCTTATAGCGCGGTTTGAGAATTGAAAAGTTCCTGTATAGCACGATTCGAAAATTGAGGAATCTCTTTATAACACGGTCCGAGAATCGGGAAATCCTCTTATAACACGGATTGTAAATCGAGAAATTTTTTTATAATACGGTTCGAAAATCGAGAAATCCCCCTATAGCACGATTCGAAAATTAGAAAATCCCTTTATAACATGGTTCGAGAATTGAGAAATGCCCTTATAACACGGTTCGGGAATTGAAAAGTCTCTGTATAGCACGATTTGAACATTGGGGAATCCCCTTATAGCACGGTTCGGGAATAAAAAGTCCCTGTGTAGCACGATTCAAAAATTGGGGAATCCCTTTATAACTCGGTTTGAAAATTGGGAAATTCCTTTATAACATGGTTTGAAAATTTGTAAATCCCTTTATAACACAGTTCGAAAATCGAGCAATCCCCCTATAACACGGTTCGAGAATTGAAAAATTCCCTTATAACACAATTTAGAAATTGAAAAATTTCCCTAGAACGCGGTTTGAAAACAGTGATTCTTATATAAATCTAATATAAAATTAAGAAATTTCTGTATAACACGGTTTAAAAATTGAGAACTTTCAGTACAATATGATTTGAAAATTAAGGAATCCCCGTATAACATAATCTGAAAATAGAGAAATCTCTGTATAACAGGGTTTAAAAATTGGGAAATTTCTGTACCACAAGGTTTGAAAATTGGGAGAACCCTCATATAATATAGGTAAAAAATTGGAATATATCTGTATACTTTGACTTGATACTAAAAAATTGATATATAAATTGGTTAAAACATTGTGAGGTTATAAAAGAGTTAAAACATTCTGAAATCTCCGTATAACATGGTTTGAAAGTTGGGAAATACTCGTACAACGTGGTTTGAAAACTGGGGAATCCCGGCACAAAATGGCGCATAAATAGAATTTTTAAATAAATTTATCGATATTCGATAGTTTTCGTTTTGTTAAGTGCGTGTGCTATCTCAAATTTGTGTATGGAATTTTAAGATATTGAAATTTGAAATTCATTTTTGGCACGTATCGTGGAAAGCTAGTACTCGAAAGTTTTTTCATTATGGGGAAATTGCAACTCGAAACTTTTCTGATATAAAGTTTACGACATCTTTAATAACTAACATATCAAATAAACCTGTTTTATTCCAATACTTCATATATTCTTATATTACAAAAAGCACAGTTTCAAAAATGAGATTTTATTTTGCTTCGCACATTTTGCTGAATATTATATGAAGAAAAAATTATATAATATTAATGTGTAATAGTTTTGATTTATAGTAATCGATAGCAATAAATTAATTATAGTTATGAAAGGAAAATAAATTGTTGTTAATTTCTGTAACCTAACCCTATTTTTGTATTAGTCCTTATGAAGGTTACCTATATTTGATATATAATTATAAACACATATATGCATATAATTATATATTTAATTTACAGTAATTGATTTATAATATTAATTTAAATTGCAGTTAAGTATAATGTTTTTCATAAATAGATAAGGACAGCATGTTATATTATACTACTCTGTGTTCAGCAATGTCAGTATCTTTGTAAAGTATATACATCACAGTACAAAATTGCAATAAAATTTGATAAGTAATGCAGTAAAATAAAAATTCTTGGATATTTTGCAATTATTTTGAATATTATAACACACTTACTTTTAATAGTACTAAATATATTATAGCTGATACTCTCAAAGATTTCTAAATTTTAAATTCAGATCAAATGGTAGGGTACTATAGTATAGCTATTATACTTATAAAGTAAGAAATATTTTTTCATTGGCAGTGAATCAATCTGTATAAATGTATTTCTTTGTGAAAGTATATTGTCTTCTTCTTGTGTACCTGAACTTGTTCTTGGCGAGTTGGTGGAGGATCTGCAGGGACCTCGGCTCTACTTGGTGCAAGAAGATCCCTAACCTGTTCCTCGAGATATCCGATCCTGTGAGTCAGCCTAAGGTTATCAGATCGAAGTGTGCGGAGGGCTGCGAGGGATTCGCCTTTTCGAAGGACCACAATTTGTGCTGCGTCGGGTGCAACGGCCAACAGCCTTGCTAAATCGCTCCTGCCTGCTCCCACCACCAGTTTTCCATTCACCTCCAAGATTCTAAAGACAATGTTGACTGATAAGTTTGAGTTTTATGAGCACGATTACACTTAATTAGGTGAAACTTTTCAGTCGACAAAGGAAAAGTTGAATCATTATAACGAGGGTTGACCAAAAGGAACAATTTATTCTTCCTGTACATTTGAATTTCACCAGCAGTAGAGAAAAAAATTTTAATGCCATCTTTAGATGGAAGTTATTACAATACATCTATGTATAGTGTATTTATAAGTATTTTTAAGTATTTTTTCAACTGACAGCCTATGTTAATTGGTACAGTCAAAAGGGACTGTGTGCTTGACTAAGAGAGATCATGCAAAATATATCTTGGGTATCTATTTCAGAAAATATCACTGTTTAATGTTATAATAATCATAAAGTTTATACTACACTTTTTATAATTGAGCCTATTTAATATTTAGTACACATTAGGTGTCTTAAAGCAAATTTTTACTTTTCAGGTTTATTTATTTGAGCTTTCTAAATATATATATTCAGACTATAGCTAAGAGAGATGATGCAAAATATATCAGGGGTATCTACTTCAGAAAATATCACTGTTTAATGTTATAATAATTATAAAGTTTATACTACACTTTATAATTAAACCTACTTAATATTTAGTACACATTAGGTGTCTCAAAGCAAATTTTTACTTTTCAGGTTTATTTATTTGAGCTTTCTAAATATATATATTCAGACTACAGTTAAGAGAGATGATGCAAAATATATCAGGGGTATCTACTTCAGAAAATATCACTGTTTAATGTTATAATAATTATAAAGTTTATACTACACTTTATAATTAAACCTACTTAATATTTAGTACACATTAGGTGTCTCAAAGCAAATTTTTACTTTTCAGGTTTATTTATTTGAGCTTTCTAAATATATATGCAGAAAAATATAGAATTGAGATTTCAATAAAATGATAATAGATAGCTATAAAAGACATCTTTCCAGTGTTTTAACTGTAAAACACTGTCTTTTTATTCTACTTTAATGTTATAAAAGGCAAATTGTGTTCAGAACATGGAGTTGACGAGTTACAACAAATTCTGTTGAACGATGTATGGGGTCATGTGAAGTCGCAGGTGCAATTAGCGGGGGCACTCGGCGAACTTCCGGTGCGGCTTCACGCTACAGTGACCCGTTGGGAACCAAATGCCAAGATTGCAGTATTGTTCTACACTGATAGCTAGCTGACATAGTATATGCACGCCATGTTATGTGTTATATGTTTAGTGTGCTTCGTTTTTTAACAATCTTCACCTTTCTTCCTATTTATAATTTCCTGTTTACTTTCTTTCTTGTCTTTTTCTCTCTCTCTCGCTGTTTCTTCGACACAAATTCTTTTTCGTCGCCCTCGTTTTGCTCCTTTTCTCTTTGTCTCTGGGAATGCGGTGATTTCTCACAGCCAATAGGCGTGCAGTCGTGAAAATCACCAATGAAACTAAAATGATGTCATAACGAACATAGCCTTTACAGTTTTCCCATTAAGCGACAAAACACGATTCTTTTTCCTGTTATGCAATAATTGCAGAGCGAATGAAACATTCTTTACGACTGCGTTTATCGTCGGTATCCGTGCTGGAGATAAAGGGAAAAGAATCTTGTTTATGATAATGTACCGTTATAGGGGTCGCGATGGAGTCGCTTTGTGACTTTTAGCTGTTTTACTGATTTTATTGTCTTTTTACAAATTCCATCGTGGCACTGCTCGTTTGACATGATCTCGCATGATTTCGCACTGAAATTATTGTTGGAGTTATTATTCAGAAAAAGACTGTGATAAATGTAATGGATAAAATTATCAATATGCAAAGAGAATATAAAGAGATTATAATTATTTGATAAAATGAAGAATTCTGAACGGTACAAAACCTGTCTCCCTTGCATAATCCAGAATCCTCAACTGCCCAATCAACGTACAAGCCAGGTGTGTCTTCTCTCGGCCCAGCACCGAAACGGGGACTTTTTGGGTCTGCGCTAACTTCCACTGCGTGGATTGTAACTTGTGTAGAGCCGGAGATACAACTGCAAATTAAATAACAAATGTATCACTCTATTACATTTAATAAAATTAAAAATCTTCTTTTAAATTCATAGAATTATAGGTTTAATTTTTTATTTTTTTAGTGAACCAAGATTCAAAATAATATTTGAGGTTTGGTTATACGTAGTTCACGTAGTTGTAATACGTACTGTACAAATTCAGTAGAATATTTGTAACATTCGTATTATTTTGGATGAGGTACCTATATATCGTGTCATTCTTTTGTTTCTCCTGGGTCTCTGCCAATTCCAAAGCAGCTTGTAGGGCTCTGCTCTCTTCGCGAAGAGTCAGAAGCTCAAGTTCTTCGCGACCAAGTCTGTACTCTAATTCGGCTTGTTGAATCCGGACATCGATATTACTGAAACAAAGTATCGCAAGTTACCAAATAACTTTTCGTCGATTGCTATAAAATATTTCGAATTTTAACCAAACATTTCATGTAGAAACAAACGAGAAAAATATTAATACGAAATAATATTTGGGAAAAAATAATTTTTCCCATACCGGGAATCGAACCCGAGCCTCCTGGGTGAAAGCCAGGTATCCTAGCCACTAGACCATATGGGATTTGATACCTGACTTGTCGTTATTATGAGATTTGCCCGTCCATTTTATTTAATTGCTTATTCTAACCTTAATATTTTAATCCTCTGTTTATTATAATGTTTTATTATAATACTTTTCGTTTATTATAATATCGTTAATTACAAACGCTAACGATGAAATATAGAGATAAAACAATGCTGTAATTTAATTCATTGACATCTTATGCAGGTTATCGAACAAAATTTTCTCGACTTCAAAACAGCTTCGAAGCTTCATTTCCGATTAATTCATCGTGCGTTAAATGTATAATAAACTTATACCGAAATTCAACAAGAACCGAGTCGATCACAGATGGTAGCAACGTTTTACAAGAATCTAAAGTAGTCGAACGCTAAACAGCAAGACAATATTAGAATTGAAAGACGGAAGAATAACCGAAAGCTGACATGAACGTTAATCCTTTACACTAAAATGACGAGTCCTTTGTTTCAAATCTTACGATTGTAAACTATACTAATCACGCCACTATAATTAAATTTTATACGCTTTAACGTGCACAAAATTCGAAGAATTTCTAAAATTTTTATCTAACGTCAAACCTTTGTATTAAAATGACGAGCCTAACTCGTTACGAGTCCATATAAAATCTCACGATTTTAAACTACATTAATTCCGTAACCATAATTAAATCTTACACGCTTTAATGTGTACAAAATTTGAAGAATTTCTAAAATTTTTATCCATGTTCATCTTTGATAGGATAAGTATACAGTGGTTAACCAAAATTAAATATTGCTTCGATGCATACTTCTTCATAATCAAATCGCAGTGCAAGGGGTTAAAGTTGAAAGATGAAAGAACGACTGTCTCCTCGATTTTCCTGATAATCGAACTGAGAAAATTCGGGAGTTTGTCATAAGGCTAAGGGTGTTCTGATTGGTTGAATTGGACCAAGGGCGTTTTCTTGGGCCGAGAATCGGTCATCTTAAAAATAGGAAACGTCTTTCAACCGAAGAACACAAGATAGTAGTGGAGGAACCCCTTTCCTCGAGGTGACGTGCATGGAGGTCACTTGTGCATTGGTGACATTATAGAAATCGCTTCTGGAAAATATTCATCTATGGTCCTTTAGTTCGCTGAGGCCTAAGTGTACCACGCATGCGGACTAGTGCTGACTTCTGCAGGCCCTTTGTTACCCGAGTCCCAAGAACTGTCCCCTAACTTTCTTGAGTTAGGATCGCATTGCTTCGCGTGACTGGGAGCACTCGAAGCGATAAACAGGAAGTTTTCAACGATACGCAATGACGTTATGGTACATTAGAAAATTCCGATGGTCTTGTTGTTATGGCACTTGGTGACGGGGTCTTCTAAGCCTGTCTTTGTTTCAGGACGGAACAAGGGTGTTCCCGAATAACAAAAGCGGGCGGGTAAGGAAGTGATTCTTTATGAAAAAGTATGAAAAATAAAAATAAAATAAAATTTTTTCGATTCTGGCTTCGTTTCGAGAAAATTCGAGAATGCTTGGAAAATTCGTTTCATATTTTAAACTCTTTAAATACAACGTATAAAAATTTTATTCACAATAAATTAAATCGACTTGGAATTAAATAATATATTTTTGTATAAATAAAAATTGGTAAAAATATTTAAAAAATCAATTAAATATTATGACTAACAAGGCAACATATTTAACAAGCATAGGCTGAATTTATGTGAGAAATTTATGTGAGATGGTGGTCAAAAAAATATTTGACGCATACCTGATTTTATTGGCTATCGTTCATATTGAAGGGGTGAAAACAACCCTTAAAGGTAGCAGTCGAAATCATATTTTTTGGAGTATTTCGAGACCCAAAAGGACTGAAGACAAATTGTTTTTTCTTCAAAATATACCCTTTTACATTGAAAATGTAACCATGTAGAAATTTATACGAAAAATTAATTTGTTTAAATAATATATTAAAAAATTGAATTTTTTGTCTTCTTTCTTATACTTATATTAAAAGTTAATTCAGATTCACATAAATGAATACACGTATATTATTAATTCATAGATTAAATAGGACTACATATTTTTGGAATTTTTTATTCTTTTATTTGTAAGTCTAGCGGAGTAAAAATTTATGCTGCGAACTCTCAGAGCGTATTAACCTCGCACATGAAAATTTGAAAAATGCAAACACGTTTCCTAGAGTTCATAATTAAATAGGCACAGCACGTATACGACAACGAGACAATGAATTTTAGCAATTCTGTAATTAATACAATAATATTTTATTCTTGCAGAATGCAGTAATTCGCAAATGTTCTTTATACTTTGTTTATAAACACTATAGACGATATACATGAATGCACGAATCGCATCTTGCAATAGTAGTAAGATAACAATTGGTACTTGCAGTTCGTAATAAGTGCAAATTTTCAAATCTGATTATCTCGAAAACGAAGCCAAACTCAAAAAATTTTAGTTCATTTTTATTTTTCTTATTTTTTCCTAAGGAATCACCTTCAGCCTGCTTGCACATGTTATTCTAGAACATTCTGTACACTATTTTTTACATCTCATCTTTATCGCTATATTTTCCTGTAATTTATGTATAATTTTGTATAGTAAGGAAATAAAATAAAATATTAAATAATAAAGTAAACGTAAATTGTAAATAAAATTTTACCTATAATTGATATTTAGTAACACAAGATTTATTGAAGCTGTTTCCAACTTACTCCGTAATATCTAGTCGTTCAAGGGCTAATTTCAAATTTTTTATCGCTAGTCGTTTATTATCTGCATCACGTCGCAGCCTCTGAAGTCGTTCCTCAGTCGCTTTTCTGTCAGCCTCGGTTAGGGGTGGGGCACCATTACGTAATGCTAATCTGTTGCTAAGTGTGTTGCACAATTGCCCTTTCAACCTGAAATAATTAGTAATTAGTAGCAGAGTTAGTACTGGCAACAAAAGAAGCAGGTGGGTAATAAACAAAGAATGACAAATTGCTAATATTATCCTGCAATGATTACTATAATTACTGCAATCATGGATATTCGAACATCTAGCTTCTAACGAACAATGATTTGTTTCTTTTTAACACTAATCATACCACAGCTTAAACAACCGTTTTCAAATTTTTTATTAAAAATTTTGCATTCATTATCGCTATCGCCTTGATCATTTGACCTTTCAACTATTCTTTTGATATTCGTATTATGAATTTTTCAATATTTTCTCTTATTCCATTTTTTTTTAAATTATTTTCCCTTCTTTTTACATCAATAGGGTTTTTCATTAGCCGCGGAAGATTCGGTATTAATCCAGACTAGAACTACCTAGAACTAACTAGAATAACCAATTCAGTGAAAATGGCTGGTCCAAGAATTTTCCTTTTTGCAATCACCGAACACATACACCTGCTTTAAAAATAAAATTAGTATCAACTCATATTAGGAAAGAATTGTAATCAATATATTCACTCATATTCACCGTACCGCTGAAATTGTTATAATTCGTGCACGTTATAGTTAGGTACCCATTAAAGATCGGTAGTTCTAGTGTTAATGCAGATTATAACAGTGAAAAGCTAAAATAATAACATATACAGTGTGTGTCAATTAAAATCGTGCACCACAACTGTTATCAAATTTTCTCTTAAAACACAGTGTTATTATGTACATATTTAGGATGATATAAATTTCGAAATGTATACGTTAAAATGTCTGTATTAAGTGTGTGTAATTACAAATTAAATGTTTTATATCTACTAGAAAAATTAAATATATGTGGCAATAAAGTATAACCAGTTAGTGAAAATCGTACACGTCGGTATATTCGTAATAAACTGGAAAATTTCTGGTCTTTTTCTTCCATCTGATGATTTTTGTACTTTATGACTAAATATATAAACATTTAATTTTTCTTTTAAAGATAGAGAATTTAATTTGTAATTACACACATTTAATAGAGACATTTTAATACATATGTTTTTAAATTTTTATTATTCTAGATATATGATAACTATACCTTTTAAGTAAAAAATTGGTAACTGTTGTGGTGTACGATTTTAAGTGACACTCACTGTATTCCTTCAAAAACAAATTTTAACTCAAATTAGGATTACTTTCAAGACCCCTTATAAATTGGAATAGTATCTTAATTAAATGAATGGGTTGGAAAATTTGTTGATTGAATAGTATTCAATACCTAACCTTGAGTATAATTTTTAAAGTTAAGACATTGATAATGCTAAGAGTTGAAAATTAAAAAATATATACTTTTGATAAATAGTCTATTTGTTGAAATAATACAATAGTTTGCACGAAAAGTAATTAAGTTATTTGTAATTTTTATTTATTATGGTGATTTATTATTTGATTTTGAAAATGATTGATACCTTAATATTCAGCGTTATGAATTAATATCATATTTACTGCTGTTCACAAACACTATTACTACGTTTGTTACTATATGCATTTATTGTTTAATAACTATTCTATATGTTATTTCAAAAACAAATTCGTAATTAAGAAATAAACTTTATTTCCTCAAATAATCAATTTTATATTCAAATAAAGAACATAATATCAATTAGAGTACATTATTTCTTAATCGATAATTAATGTTATTCGAAATAATTATTTTTAAATTATTATTAGAAATAAATTTCGCCCAGGTTTGGTTAAATAACGGGAATACAAATTTGATTGTAGTATTAAACAATACAGAGACAGAAATCTAGGAAGATTACTCTGAATAATTTTACTTATTTATACAAAAAAAGCAAAAATAAAAATAAAAATACGAAATTATTAAATTAAAAAGAATCTTTAATTTTGAAACTGTTCAATTATTTACTTATATGTAATTATAATTTATTTAAATTTATTAAGGAGACATTCCATAATATGATTTACGCGCCATCTGCATTCGTGTTTGTGCGTGCAATCAAGTGACACGGCTATTCTATCAGTTCTTTTGTTCTATGGCTTCTTACCGGTTTCTCTTACTTTCGATTGGCGTTGGGTTCTTACCCACTTACAGTTCGTTAACGAAATGTTAAGTTAAGGATTTAAAGGACAGAAATCTTTTATTCTACATATAATCTTAAGAAATTTATGGCAATTTATAATGCTTTTAAGACCCACTTGTTACTGTTCTTTAATCGCCATAATTGCAGTTAGCTTTATCGTTTAAAGTATCGAGAGACGACTATCAGTCGCCATTTTATAAAGTTCTAAAAATTATATATTAAATAATATATTAAATTTGAAATAAGGTAATAATACACGAAATATCGAAATAAAATAATTCCTATACGATTTATTATTCACTATCTTAAAAAATATGGTCGACTTTATAACAAAAAGTCTTTGAATTGCTATTTTTCAAAATAAAGGGTTAATATATGAACGAGATATTTTAAAAAATATACATATACAGAATATCCCAGTAACGGTGGTACAATAGGAAAGAGAATAATTCTAGACGCAGAAACGAATCTAAAAAAAAAGAATAAAATTTTTTTATTCCAAGCTTCGTTTCCGAGAAAATCGACTTTAAACATTCACTAAGTGCACGTGCACTTAGCTATGGCTTATATGAATAGACCATCAATACATGAATATCGGTGGAAAAATTGAGAAGAGGGTGGTTCTACGTGAAAAATTAAATCGAAAATAAAGAATAAAATTTTTTGATTCGAAGCTTCGTTTTCGAGAAAATCGACTTTGAATATTCACCGAGTGCGCGTGCACTTAGCTATGTCTTATATGAATAGACCATCAATACATAAGTATCGGTGGTAAAATGAAGTAGGGGGTGATTCTACGTGAAAAAACAAATCGAAAATAAAGAATAAAATTTTTTCATTCGAAGCTTCGTTTTCGAGAAAATCGACTTTGAATATCCATTGCATACCCTGATATACTGATGGTCCATCCGCCATAGCTAAAGTTAAGTGCACGCGCACTCGGTAGATATTCAAAGACGATTTTCTCGAAAACGAAGCTTCGAATCAAAAAATTTTATTCTTTATTTTCGATTTCATTTTTCACGTAGAATCACCCTTTCTCAATTTTACCACCAATACTCATGTAATGATGGTCTAGTCATATAATCCATAGCTAAGTGCACGTGTAGTCGGCGAATATTCAAAGTCAATTTCCTCAAAAACAAAGCTTCGAATAAAAAAATTTTAATTCTTCTTTTTTCAATTTGTATTTGGAGGAGGAGGATGTAGAATCACCCATTTCGCGGTTGTACTATCGTTGTTGAGGCACCCTGTATATGTATATTTATATAAAACACGATTTATATGACATATAATTGATAACCCATTTAGTGTGTTAATTACATATCGTAATAAATTTCACACAATTTTCAATTTGTGTAACAATTGATTGAAAATTTAATTTTTTTCAATTCGATTAAAAAATTTCATTCCTTTAAAATTCCTTTTTCTTTGATAGGCGTACTGTATGTGTACTAAATGGTTCTCACGTTTGAATAATATTCTCCTTATCACGTAATGCGATCCGCAGAGCATCCAATTCCTTGTAATGATCTCTATTTCGATGACCAGCCGGTGATGTTACTCCACCGGAAATGCTCCCACCTTTTTTCCTCCTCGGTGTCGTTGATAAGGATACTTCTATACTGGCCATCTGAGAAAAGACGAGAAGAGATTAAATTTTGATTATTATTTCTACATACTCGATATACAATCACAAATTTCCAAAATTTATATCGATTACAACTTATATTTCCACATTCAAATAATACGTAAAACACGCTACTGTATAACAATTCACGAAAAATAAGAACTGAACAAAATTTCAATTTTTCGACCAAAATCGAAATTTAAAATATAATCGGTAAATTATTCGACAAAATAGAACGGCTAAAAGAAATATATATAAAAATATCGACGCCATTATAAATTCATTTTAAATTCAAATGTCACGTCAAAGATGTCATTTCGGTCCATTTTGTCTATTTTATCTATTAATTCAGGCTGAAGTTCACATTTACAATTCCATTTTTCTATTTTCCACTATTTTATTCGACTGGTATTTAAGACGTAGATGTAATAACATATTTCGAGACATAAATTATTTGAAATAAATTATTCAAATTTACTCGGACAAGTAACGGCAGCAAAAACGTGGTAGTTTTACATAGAAATTTCGAGCGGGAGGCAAGCATCCGGTGGCTCGTGCCTGTAAAAAGCTGTAGTTTACCGTCGCGATTTAAAGACGGTCGAAACTGGGGGGTGCAAAATAACGCACGGTATGAATACAAATTTATCGTTCTATTAAACCTATGATTTGTGACCATGGAACGGGATGTCTCGATCTTAATGGACTTGCACATCGGTACTGCACACAATGCTCGATGGTCCTTGAGAAAGCAGCACTTGGTCTCTCCTGCTGGCATACAACGCGGAGAAGGTCAATGCCGGCCTTGACTGCGCAGCAACCAGAAAGAAGGATACGATACGAGACCTTGTACGCCCAGTGTGTCTCACACAAGACCACCAACTAGATTCGCTTGCAGAAAATATGCAACTAACCGGATATCCTCCGCAGCCATTGCCAAACCGTTGTGCTATACCTTTGCTAAAGAGTTTCTATTTCTTCCATTCCCACAGCGTTTATCGATGTCAAAAATACCGTGTTTTCGTGTTTTATCGAGTACTTAATAACTTGGGAATGACGTTTATGAGTTTTGTGGAAGTTGAGTTCTTTTATTAGAATTTATTCAGTTGTATGTTTCTTCAAAGCATTTGAAATATCGCAGGACTTCTAAATTTTAATATTTATCGAGCACTTAATAACTTAGAAATTAAGTTAGAGAATTTTGTAGAAGATTAAGTTTTAGATTAAAATCTGCTAAATTATGATTTTTAAAGGTAATTAAAATTTTATAGAATTTTTAAATTTCACATTTTATCGAGCACTTGATAACTTAGTAATTGAGTCAAAGAATTTTGTTTAACTCTTTTAATAGAATCTATATAGTTATATGTTTCTTCAAAGTATTTGAAATATCGCAGGACTTCTAAATTTTAATATTTATGGAGCACTTAATAACTTAGAAATTAAGTTAGAGAATTTTGTAGAAGATTAAGTTTTAGATTAAAATCTGCTAAATTATGATTTTTAAAGGTAATTAAAATTTTACAGAATTTTTAAATTTCACATTTTATCGAGCACTTGATAACTTAATAATTGAGTCAAAGAATTTTGAGGAGGTTGAATTCTTCTATTAGAATCTATTCAGTTGTATGCTTCTTCAAAGCATTTGAAATATCGCAGGACTTCTAAATTTTAATATTTATCGAGCACTTGATAAGTTAGAAATTAAGTTACAGAATTTTGTGGAAGTTGAATTCTTTTATTAAAATCTATTCACTTATATGTTTCTTCAAAGTATTTGAAATATTGTAAGACTTCTAAATTGTAATATTTATCAAGCACTTAATAACTTAGAAATTAAGTTAGAGAATTTTGTGAAAGATTAAGTTTTATATTAAAGTTTGCTAAATTATAATTGTTAAAGGTAGTTAAAATTTTACAGAATTATTAAATTTCACATTTTATCAAGCACTTGATAACTTAGAAAATAAGTTAAAGAATTTTGTTTGTTACTTTACTTGTTAAGTTTAACTTAAGTTTATTTGTTACATTAAAATTCTTTAAATCATTTGTTTTTTAAAGGTACTTAAACCTTTATACCGTTTTCAAATTCAATTTCGTATCAAGCACTTAATAATTTAGAAATTAAGTTACTGAATTTTGGAAAATATTAATTCTTATATGATACCAAAATTTCTTAAATTATGTTTTTTACTGGTATTTAAAATTGTACACAATTTTCTAATTTAACTTTTTATCGAACACTTAATAGTTCAGAAATTAAGTTAGAGAATTTAGCGACAGATTAATTCTTATATTAAAATCTCTTAAATAATTTGTTTCTTAAACGTATTTAAAATAGTTTAGAATTTTTAAATTTGTCTTTTTTCAAGCATTCGCTAACTTTGAAATTAAATTACTAAATTTTGTGAAAGTTTAATTTTTATATTAGGACCTGTCAAATCACATGTTTTTAGAAGTATTTAAAATTTTTTAGGATTTTCAAATTTGCCTTTTTATTAAGCACTTAATAACTCAGAAATTAATTTATTGAATTTCGCGAAAAATTATCTCATCTATTATTTGTTATCTAAAGGTATTTAAAACTTTATAGAGTTTTTAGATGACCCCATCAAGCATCGAGTAACTTACAATTAGAAATTAAGTTGATAAATTTTATAGAAGTTTAATATTGATATTACAATCTCTTAATTTATTTGCTTTTTAAAGCCATATTAAATTTTGCAAAATTTTCAGATTTCAGTGAATTGGGAGACATTTAATATTTTCAGGAATTTCGACTTTATCTTATTTTTGCATTTGAATTTGCAAATTTAATTATTGCAAATGTATACGAGTTTAACCTTCCAGACTTTATTATTTTTCACATGTGTTATCGTGTTGCTTTAGCTTATATTAAAATTTGCTAAGTCTGCCCGCATTTATTCTCTTCCACACATAAGCGGTTTCTAAGCGTCACCTCTCCCTTTGCACGTTCTCCGTGCGGCTGAGCCTTTTCCGCACCGACTACTCGACGTCCTCTCGTGAGATTATCTTCAACCAAGATTTACGGCATAAAGATTCACGGTTATAGGATAAAACTCCGTACTGTAATAGACTTGCGATCTTATTTTGCTTCGAGCCGAACGATTGCAGGTCGAAGGTCTAACAAACTTGTAAAGTAATTTTAGCTACGAACAATTGAAAATAAAATTGGACAGTCGAACTTTTTACATTTGGCTGACAATGTAAAAAGTGAACTACAGTTTTTTTTTTAATTCTAATGGAAATTTAATTACCAAATTCACGGTATAATATACAAACATGTGACATGTCGAATTAATACAAAATCTTGAATTATTCTAAAATATGATATTGCGATTTATATTATATAATTGAGTTATTGAAAAATTTCACATACAGGGTGTCCCATTATTAAGCATATAAATATATAAATATACAATGTGCCGAATTAACATAAAATCTTGAAGTAAAATATAATATTGCGATTTATGTAATCGAGTTATTGAAAAATTCTATATATAGGGTATCCCATTATCAAGCATATAAATATATAAATATACAATGTGCCGAATTAATACAAAATCCTGAAATAAAATATAATATTGCGATTTATATAATTGAGTTATTTAAAAATTTTATACAAAGGGTGTCCCATTATCAAATATATAAATATATGATGTGTTGAATTAATACAAAATTTTGAAATGAAATACGATATTGCGATTCATGTAATGGAGTTATTTACAAATTTTATATACAGGCTGTTCCATTTAAGTTGACACGATCAAAAATTACGTAGACAGACGAATTAAAGGAAACAATTCGATTTTGGGTACTTTTAACTATGAAATATAAAAATACTCAATATTGAAAGGTAAATTAAAATAATAAAAAACACATGCCAGCTTGTTTTTTATAAATCACCCGTTTGTGAGATTTTTCGTTGTGTCTGCTTATATGGCACACCTTATGTATTGGGTAAATTATTGGAGTCTACTCAAATTATTGGTCTGTAATTACTTATAAATTGTTTGTTACATAAAAAAATAATTTTAAATAAGTATTACTTTTCACCAATTTGATTATATATTTTTGATTTGATTATATATTTGATTATTTTGCTTTTTGATTAAAATATGAAGATCATCGTGGATCAATTGCAATATAAAAAAGCAAAATAACGAAAAATTAATTATTACATTGTATATATCTTTAATATCAACCAACACATATTTTTAAAACTAATTTTAAGTTGTAGAATTATAAATTGTAGATTTTTAATTTAATATTCCTTATTTTAAGGACCAAGGTGTTCCTTATTTTAAGGACTTAAACTTAAACTAATGAAACTTAGTTTAAGTTTCATTTAACTTATTTGAACACTCATTACGTATAATTTTAAAATTTCGAGATGGTTTTAAATTCAATATTACTGTTCAAAAGTGATAAATAATACTGTATGTAAAATACAACATACAAACATGTAAACACCCTATTTCCAGCATTATTTGTAACATACAAAATTTACTGGAAAGCAAATTACGCCAAACCATTTATGCAATTAGAGTATCATTTTTCTTACTTGTTGCATTATTCTTTCCAGGAATGTTATTATTCCAAGCCTGGAAATACTTTTCTTGGAAGAGGTAGATGATTATAAAATTACTGTTATGAAACTTGACTTCGTGTACAGTACAGTGTTCTAAAGAAATATTAAGACTAGAACTATCGACCTAAAATTTGTTTCTAAATATAGTTCCTTGTGCTACGATTTAATTCTGAAAAATGGCGAATTGGAAAAGTAGTCAATTCTAGTTAGCCACTATGCGTCCATTTATAATTTTAATTGTTTGGCAAGAGTAGCTCATCATTAACTGATTTGGTACAAAAGCATATAAGGGTTAATAGATAATACTAATCAAAATCGTATAATGCAAATAATTGGGCAAGTTAGGTAAAATAATTAAATAATTTATTTCAATAAATATTAATTTTATCAAAAA